GGTTTGGGTAAACGAAATTTCATCGGTATAACCAGTTATCGGTATAAGAATATCGGTATAAAGAGGTTTGACTGTATACTGCCAATTTGACGTATTGAACATCCCTTTATCCATTCATATAAGGACATAGGGTTATTCCAGTCAGGACCTGATACTGATAGAGAATGGACACACAAGTAAATTGTACGTGATGGGTGAAGGGCAAGTTGATAAATGATAAAGATGAATGTAATGATATACGTACAAGAGAAGTGACAAACAATGGTAGTGAGTAAGTTGGATGGTGTATTATATTCTATGCATATAAACATTGAACTATTCATTCTCCACTGCTCCTACTCTACTTAACCCAAATCTATCATATCTCATTTACTTGTCTTCTAATGCGTTATGTATACCTGATTCTTGCTACGACTCGGTTGTATTATGTCCCAACCCAGTGCATATTGTAATGCATTCAAACTATTCTTTTACTGCTATAATGTCTCTGCCCAAACTAACAATGCCCAATTGCTGCTGTCTCTCGCAATATAGCACAAAACCAGTAACAATATTCAAACTATTCTCCCCGTTGCCAGTAAACACGTGTTGCTTGTTTGCTTACCAATACCAAGTGTTTCGATATATTCCTTATAACAGTCCGTGATCGCGCCAGGGTGTTCTTGATGGTATGTATGAAAAAATTTTTTGTATTTGTTGTAGGCAGCATCCACTTGTACACTGGGACAGTCTCTTCCGTATTTAAAAACAAACTGCCATTTTTTCATTGGGTACATGTCTAGATTTTTTCGTGTGAAGGCTTTGGTAACCAAAGGGGGAGTGTAGTAGGTTTGGAGTTGAGCGTTTATTTTATACGTTAACTGTTGACAGATTAAAACGACACCGGATTAAACCAACTTTTTTCCTATTTAATTAAAGTTTTTTGGGGTAAATTTTTTTAGACTTTTTTGAATTTGGGCTAAAATTTAGGGTAGCGTTTGATAATAAAAGAGTATATTAATATGTGGTTTTTGAGTTTTAAGGGTAGACTTAAGAAGACCCAAAAGTCGTTTTAATCCACCCTTATTATACAGTCAGACTCCCCTACAGTCACCTGACTGTATGGAGATGTGACCGTCAGATAGGCGGTTGCGTTTTTTACTGATACCCGGGGGTTTGTCCATTGCGTATTAGCTAATAATGACTATATTTATAACAGATTCATGCTGTCAGTCGTATAACCTTTGACATTCCAAGACTCTCCCATCCTCTTTCTATTACTAGACACAACTTTTTTGCAAACAGTGCATTTGAAAGTGCGTTGTGTCATCGCATATAGTAGAGGTGAGATGGGAATGTAGCACAAGGGAATGATTTATCGTATATATGTATGTTATATAATAATTTACTGTGGGGGTATACTTTATTAATCACTCAGGGAAATTTGTAGTATAATAGGCAACAAACTAAATAGTTATTTAAGATATGTTTGAGACGGATGTACAAGAGGGAGGAATGGGTTGCTTGAGGCCAAACAGTAGGAGATGTTTGCGACTTATGCGCAAGCAAACGCGAAGTAATAGAATAGTAAGCGGATAGATAATGATTATTTTGTTGGCAGCCAGTCGCAAGCATAACGCAAGGATGATACCAACAATTGTTCCTTTGCTCTTATTCACAAAGTACCTAATAATTTAGGAGAGGACAAATCACCAATAATGCCTGAATAGAGTAAAAATGATCTTCTATTTTTGGAATAGCCCATTTGACCGACAAGCGACCGATATTCCACAAAAAAGATTCGCACCAGTAGAACGACCTAAACTGGTGTGTAAGTAAATAGGAAAAGATATTTTCTTTTAAATATTGTACGTCATGGATACATTGAGGTATTGGAGCAAGTGCATCCATCACAAATTGCAATTAGGTTGTCGGATTAACGATTTTTGATCTGCGCACAGTGGTTTGTATCGGAATAATTGGGGCTTCAAATAAAGACAGTACAGTCTGAGAGAGCAGTAGTAAAATTTATTTGAAAAGATGTTTGCATAAGGATAAGTAGCGTCATTATTGTTGACTACCCATTTTGCAGATTGCGGTATAATAAGCGTGAACAATAAGAACAAAAAACGCATGGGTAATCCCCTTCATCAAATAAGCGTAAGGCTTTTTGTAGTTCATCGGAAAGTAATGTTTGAAAAATCTTAAGTCTGGGAAAGCGGTATTTTAAATGATGGAATAGGAGGTAAAGATGACATAAATCGATGATCGATCGTTAATAGACCATAAATTAAAACCCATTTCGTTTTCTTGAAGAAAATCGACGGCAAATATATCGATGACTTGTAATATTATTTTCTTTCGAATTGATAAATAGATTATTGTTTAGTATTATTTACTAGGAGAATAGTGTAATGGATTGTACCGGGATGTTATACTTTATATTTTATAGGAAAATCGATATTTCAAGCTCGATAAACCGATATAACCAATAGCAAAGCTTTATATGTTACACATATCAGGTGCTCGATAACTGAAATAACCAATAGCAAAGCTTTATCTGCTACACAATATCTGGTATTACAGTATTATTCAGACACTACCCTTTGCATGATGTTCCTATCAATAGCGTGGAATGCGTTACTGAAACAACTACAGTCATCCCTCGTTTATAACCCCTCCCCTCTCCTTTAGAACACATCACTGCGGTTTCCATAGTCAATCAAGTGATAGAAGAAGAGCCGTGGTTCCCAAAGGAAGATTTGAGACCATTAATTTATAATGCGATTGCGTCTATAAAAAATCTGCATGAAGAGAGTATACGAAACTCAATGAGATTCCGTTTAAGGTTAGTTATTTTGTTCTCGGAACTTATTTTTATCACCATATGATGAATAGTGCAGAATCTTGAATAACCCAGATTGAGTAGATATCCAGAGCCTGCAAGCACAGGTTTATTCAGCAATGTATTAAACCTTAGACGCATGGGGGTATTTTTTTGATCTTGGTTTAAGATAGATAATTATAATAAATTATGTGAGTTGTCGTCTATGTGCTGGCCACGCATAGTTGATGATTTTACATGATATAATCTGATGGGTTGCGCACATATTTTAAGGGATAAGTTTATCTGGAATCAACTAATCACAACTTATTTTTCTGCACTAGTTTGATGACGCTTTCGAAGGGGTGTGTAGCCTTCGAGATATTGATTTGGCGAGACAGAACGAAGAGGCGTCCATTGAGGAGATTGAACGAAACTAAGTTGAATCTTGGTAAAAGTACAGCTCCATACGCTAAAAAATTGACCCAATATCTTAAAAAAATCAAGCCTTCCAACCTTTCGTGGAGAGATTCAGAAGCCAGTCAAGTATTTAGTAGCGAGTCAGAAATTATACGGCGGTATGGAGGGGTCAACTCCTCTTCGTATCAGAGATGTGTGTAATGAGTTTGTGATGAGTTATAATAATATCATGTATGATGAGGTAACTATTGAATTCTCACACGGAAGTTGGATTGAATCGGAAGAAATCTTGTAGGAGTTGCATCTGGAATTCTCAATGTTAGTATAATACGTTTTTTATTTGGCGCTTATACCACTCCTCTGACTATATTTTCTGTTATTGAAATTAGAGAAATTGTTTGGAGGAATCCAGCGTTTGGAGAGAAGTTCGCAAAATCTCAAAGTGAAGGGACATATGTAACGGATATTATAGTCCCTGTAGTGAAAGCTTCATTAAAAAAACTACCAATAAAGAGTTTCGCCTTCGTTAGCACGTAAGTATGATATGATTTACTTTTTTCGAATAACTCGCATTTATATATTTTAATTATGTAGGGCGGAACGACAGAGTATAGCAAGTAAAGATCGAAGGGAAAAGACTGGCAAGCGCCCCGATATTATGTTCATGGTAAAGCGTGGGAGAAAAATCTACGAATTAATGTTTGCTGAATGCTCTCGTCTTTTTGTGATAAGAGAAGGAAGAAAATGATTGGGTGAAGTTATGGAGAGAAATGAATGACGGCATGTATTGGGTGCATAAAGGTTGCAAGCCAAAAAAAGACGAATTCGGGATACAAGTTGCCGGACAAAAGCTCCACCTGTACTCGGGATGAAGATGAGATAGATAAGCTTTTAGGCTACGTTCGGTAGATATTTCGATACAATTCACAGATGGAGATACTGTATATAATTTTGTGAAGGCGTTGTTGCTATTACAGGTATGGATCTAGTTATTTATGCGTGCTCTCTATATAATATAGTATATCTAACTTTCTCTTTTTTATAGAAATTCTACTCGTTAACCTATCTTTATTATTAAATGCGGACCGTGGTTTACATGTGGATAAAGAAGATAGGTCGACAGTATCATCACCCCATATGACGATTAGATTTTCAATATCTATACATGGCCGATGGCAAAAGCTACTATGACCACAAACACAGATAAAGCTCTAGAAATGTTAATCGTATTACTCAATCACTTAAACTTTTGCCAACCGAAACAAGTTTCAACAGGCTTTCAAAGACATTTGGCCATTTAAAGTCATCACCACGAAATTTCGCCGATTAAACATTAAAAGTAGCCTATATTATTCTACATATTTTTAATATAAATAAAAAAGTTAAGCCTTAAATTTACATGTTTTATGAATACAACATCCTTACGACTTTTAAATGTAAGTTGCGTATTTGGGCCGTTTTTGCTTTTTGCCGTAAGATATTATAAGACAATTCGTATTCCAACAGATGTTGTTAGAGAGATACGCTTATAGAAATAACAGTGAGACATCACTTTTTTTACATGGGGCGATGTGTTATGTCAAAGGTTAGTCTCCCAACATAACTTTGGACCCAGTTTCCTAACAAGAAGTATATTTGTCGTCTTAAAGTTATCCAATCAATGAATTTCAAGCTTGTGTGACTCCATCCCTGTCGATCACTATCAGAAATGTGCTGCGTAGTGTTTGAAATAGATCATGACGCCCAACGAATAAATCATCAATGAGATAGTATCTATTTTTAAAAAGTCACTATAATGATTCGTGCTGATTTTCACTTCGCGTAGTAGATGTTAATATGCACTATAAGCACACAGATATTGGGAACACTTTTCTGAAATTATGGCTTGGCGATCACATTGATTTGTGACGGAGAACTTGAAAATAGTTATATGATATAAGCTCCTTTCTGCAAAACGTTCTATTTTTATGACATCCAAGTTCTTATAAAAAGAGACGTGCTTTCCCTTCGTCGTAACCATCAACCAGCTCACACATCTTATCGTGAACAATCAAGTACACTTGCACACAAATCGATTCAT